CACGTCTGCTTCAAGAATTTGATTTTCACTTTCAAATTTGTTGGCACGTTTCAAAAGCCCTGGAATGATTTCCCGAGCTCTAGGGCACAATGGTGGTTCAATCCACGAAAAAAATGAACAACCACCATCCTCCTACAAAATGAAATAAGGGTTCATTATTTTTGCCCAATTTCATATATATAGGGTTCACTAATTTATCCCTAATTCAGAAATTAGGTTAATGTCAGAAAAAAAGAAACAATCAGCAACTTCCTACAAATACCAGTAACTAATTTCAGATAAAAAATGACCAATCGTCATCTTCCTACAACATTTAGAAATTAGGGTTCACCAATTTGCCCAATTTTAGAAGTTAGGGTTCACTAATTTATCCCTAATTCAGAAATGAGGTAAATTTCAGAAAAAAAAAAGAAACAATCAGCAACCTCCTACAAATACAATGAACTAATTTCAGAGAAAAAAAAACAAGATTCAGAAATTAGGGTTCACCAAATTGGCCCAAAATCAGAAATTAGGTTAACCCTAATTAATCACTTACCCGCGACTTTGAGCAACAAATGTATCGCCTTCCTGGATTATGAACAGTCCACGACGTTTTCGTAACAACACTTATGCCACAATTGCAGAATTGAGCCATCGTCTCCAAGCTAGGTCTCCAAGAAAATTCGCGGGAGTCTTATGTTCATTTTAAGAAGAAAAATTTGTTCAGTGATGGAAAGACGCATTTATCCTGCAAACATCAGAGATAAAGTCGATTTTACCCTCGAGTTGGTAGCGTGCGAGTCGCACGCTCGTTTTTTCCGGTGAAATAAGGAGTCCGATGGCAGTTAGGTTGCGATACAGACGATACGTGTATTACAGGTTGCAATTTAAAAAAAAAAACTTTAGGTTGCAATCGTCAAAAACGCGATTAGTACAGGATGCAAATAATTATTTACCCACACTTTAAAAACCTTTTTTAAAACGAATTTGAATTATTCCGTCTTCTACTTTATTTGAAATTCAAAATTAAATTTTTAAAAATATTCATAAATATTATTATTTATTTTTTCCTTATGTGATATAATCTAAATTTGGTATTAGATTTTTAAATTCAAACATCTATAGTAATATAAAGAGGTTGTTGAAAAAAATACAAAAATAGTATGTTTGACTTGAAAAATAATATTTTGACTTACTAATTTAAGTAACACCAATGGGCCCCACGCGTTAAAATTGAATTTAAGTAACAAAACTCTCATAGCAAAATTAGTTTGGATTTTCCTAACCAATTCAGCGGATTCTGTTGGATTTTATATATTCACAATTTTAATAATTACTACAAAATCTTGAAGATCATTAATTTAAGTAATAAATCTCTCATAGCAAAATTAGTTTGGAACTTTTTAACCAATTCAGCAGATTCTGTGGGATTTTATATATTCACAATTTTATAATTACTACAAAATCTTGAAGATAATGATCGAAATTGCCTTACCAAAGTTATAGGATTTTGTTAAATGTATTGCTAGGATTTTGATTAATTTTATATATGAATTGTTGTTACCAATTTTCCACGATAACTATAGATTTTTTGGGCAGCTACAAAATTGACGATTTGGCGGCTTTTCGGTTTTCACATTTGTTTGGCAATTATTTTTTTTTACCAACATATATATGATCCGACTTTGTAGGATTTTATTTGTTCACAAATTTTTTAACTACTACATATTGCATCGAAATTGTCCACATATTTTTGCCAACTCATCATAAGCATAATCAAGTAAATCGGTTAGGATCCGATGGGATATTAATCATATCAGAATAAAAAATATCGGATAGCAGTTGAATCTGACAGGATATTAATCATATCCCTATAAATATCATATATTTCTAATGCATTCATCGTATTACATTCAATCTCATACTCTCGGTTTCTTCTACAATCTTTTTTTTTTTGTTCAGTTTATCCAATATCTAATGCCGACATCCTTTTTTTTTTTTTTTTTTTGCAGATGTACAGACTGACTAATAGATCTGTGTGTGAAGAACCTTTAAGTTGATATATAACCTTCCAAGTCAATTTCTTCTGTTTTCATCATTCTCGAACAGAAACTTAAGAAAACAAAAACAATTATAAGCACGTTTTTTGTGATAAATAAATTAGATTATTACTTCATTATTTTGTTTTTCTTTTTGTTTGGGGGGAAGTGGAATATAAAATTGAAAATAATTCAATATAAACTTGACAAAGGAAACAACAAGACTAACATAAGTTATCAACATTTGATGGTTTTAAAAATGCTTGATGATGTTTACTCTAAGTCATGAATGTATAAAACATTATTAATTAGATTGTAAAATACTTATGCATACAAGAAAATGTATTTAATAATTTAAATATAGTCCATAGACATATGACACTGAGAACAATGTAAATAAGAGCATCCACAATGCTTTGGGTCTAATTTTACATATGTGGCATATAAATAGACTTAAGTCCTAAATGACATGGACAAACCCAAGTAAAAAAACTCAAAAGCTATTCAATGCAAAAATAAAATACTAGGTCTAACATACATGACAACAAAAAAAAAAATGCTCTAATATATTTCATTTATTAAAAGAAAAATTAAATGAGGAATAAATGATGAGTGTTTGGGTTTGTACTTGGGTCTAAAATAGACCCAAGTGTGGACTAGGTCTCTTTTTTTATTTCCACATAAGCTAGACTAGATCCACTTTTAATTGCATTGAGAAACACTTTTTTTATAGACTATTTCTATTTCCTACATGGCATGTAATTTTTTTCTAAGAAACCCAAAGCATTGTGGGTGCTCTAATGTAGAGTTTGTAAACATAGCTAATTCAATATCTACATTTCATAACAGTTCATATTGAAGGCATTATTGAGATAACATATAACTTTTTATGCTTATCAAGAATTTAGATAAACGATTTTTGGAAAAGTAAAGAAATAGACTGAGTCGAAAAAAAAAGCAAACCTGAAAATGTTGTTACAGGTTTTTATGAAACATTAAATTTATGTATTTATATGCAAGCTTTACCTTTATACTTACTGTATAAGTATGATTGAGGTGATTGACGTCTTTAGGTTTATGGTGCAT